TATATTATGATATTAACCAGATCATTTCTACAGCTGTAATGACTTACACAAAACATTTTGACGCACACGGCCGCATCAAGGAAATTCAATATGAAATCTTTCGTTCACTAATGTATTGGATTACAATTCAGTATGACAACATGGGACGAGTGACAAAAAGAGAAATCAAGATTGGGCCGTTTGCCAACACCACAAAATACGCCTATGAATATGATGTAGATGGTCAACTCCAGACTGTTTACCTGAATGAAAAAATAATGTGGCGATACAACTATGACTTGAATGGCAACCTCCATTTGCTCAACCCTAGCAGTAGTGCCCGTTTGACGCCACTTCGCTATGACCTGAGAGACAGAATAACCCGACTAGGTGACGTGCAGTATCGATTAGACGAAGATGGATTTCTGCGCCAGAGGGGTACCGAAATCTTTGAATACAGTTCAAAGGGCCTCCTCACTCGAGTTTACAGCAAAGGCAGTGGGTGGACGGTGATTTATCGTTACGATGGCCTCGGACGACGAGTTTCCAGTAAAACTAGCCTTGGACAGCACCTCCAGTTCTTTTATGCAGACCTTACTTACCCAACCAGGATAACTCATGTATACAACCACTCAAGTTCTGAAATCACATCCCTTTACTATGACCTGCAGGGACATCTTTTTGCAATGGAGATTAGCAGTGGAGATGAGTTCTACATTGCATCTGACAATACGGGAACACCACTGGCTGTTTTTAGTAGCAACGGTCTCATGCTTAAACAAATTCAATACACTGCTTATGGAGAGATCTACTTTGACTCTAACCTTGACTTCCAACTGGTAATAGGATTCCACGGTGGTTTATATGACCCACTGACCAAGCTAGTCCACTTTGGAGAAAGAGATTATGACATAATGGCAGGCCGGTGGACAACACCTGATATTGAAGTCTGGAAGAGAATTGGGAAGGATCCAGCTCCTTTCAATTTGTACATGTTTAGAAATAACAACCCAGCCAGTAAAATACATGATGTGAAGGATTACATCACAGGTAAAATGCTACTTCATGTAAGACTTTCTCCCACTTGCTCAAATTTCTCACTCTGCATTCTTATAATCTGGAATCTGTCAATCTGGGATACAGACTGTGTGAGGAAGGTTAATACAGAAACTCTCAGGGAAAATGATCATTCAGAAAAGCACTTAAAATTTAGGTCTAGATCAATCAAGCGATTTTAACTTGCTTGGTGTTCTGGACCTATACGCATCCAATTTAAACTGGAATCCACAATTCTAGTGAAATGTCTATGTATATCATATTTGGATAAAGTTATTTTTGAGGAAGCATTAAGCACTTGACATTAACGAATGCAAACATGTTCATCAAGAATGGTGAAATAGCAATCTTGAAAATATCTCACATGCCTTTAGACATACATTTAGGTACCAAAGAGAGGTGGAGGTCCACAACACAGTGTACTGAAAGAGGAAAGCAGAGATCCTTCCAGTATCGTAACACATTGCCTAGTGCTCTTACAATGAAAATAAATAGATTTCTTCAGCAAGTACAAAAGTGAGAACCCCTCAAGACCATTCATGACTATCTCCTTACATTTGAATTAGTCCAATTTATATCTGGGCTACAGAGCAGTAAAAACTGTGTATTTATGGACAAAAAAAGACAAGAGGGAATGAGAATGTAAGATAGCAAGGGCAGGAGGGGTCTTTCTGCAACCAGTTTAACCCGTTAAGATGGCAGAAAGTACTCACTGAAAGTTCACTGGTCGGTGTTTGCTAGAATGGGCTTTTCCAAGAATACTGATGTAAACTGGCTAAGAAGCAGAAGTCCAACAAGGTGCAGGTCCAGCACAAAATAATGAGTAAGCAGCCAAGACGGAGAGGGTGGATATAGAAAAATTAGTACAAAATTCTCTTTTGGCAATAGAAAGCTGCTGACATGCCACTTGCGTAATTGATTTTTTAGGTAATCTATATGCTTTTTGTGCATCTAGACTTAGTGATGAGTAGTGTTTTCTATTAATCTACACACAAAAAATAGTGTACATCGCCAGAAAGCTCTGAAAAATGCATGGCTTGATCAGATATATATTAATCTTTGTATTTTAATAGATGTAAACAATCTGGAGTTTTTTTCAGATGGGACCAGACTACAGGATGGTCTAAGCTCCCCTTATGAATCATGAAACTACTACTCAGAGAAGCCTACTGGGAATTGGGGTGGAGTTGTGTTAATTTAAAAACAGCAGCTATTAACAGGGTAGCTAACAGTCTGCCTGGGAGCAAGGATGACAATCGGCCTTTGAATCTGGCTTCTAGCAGCATGTGCTGTAAGGGATACAACTGCAGTTAGATTCTTTGCAGCACTGAAAATAATGCACGTGATTCAAGAACTGCCCTCAAAATTGAGTTCTAGTTCTCTTAACATTTGCATGCATGCTGGTTACCACAGGTTATTAAGGTTATTATTAAAATAACTAATTTGGCTGGCTGGCATTTTTAGATGGAGGCTTATCATTTATCTATCTGGAAAGACATAAATTATTTTTAATTTAATATTTTTTTACTGTTTTAAGCATGTGAAAAATTCTGTTCCTTGTCTAACTTGTGTGGATTTGTCTTAAGTGAAAGCCACTAGACTTGATAAGGAGCACTCTGCCAACTTCTGGTAAGTTTAGTATTTGTGTAAGATAGGGTAGAAAGACAGAAACTAGATAGGCAGGCAGAGCACCCATTCTTGTCCAATCATTGTTAATTACTTAATTGCTGGTATTCCTATTTTATTTATTTTTAATAAAATGCACAGTGTACCATAAATAATGTTATCAAATGCTAATTTAGTGTCATGTACTTACTGACATTTAATTAGCTTTTAATTTCATCCTGAGGAAGGGGAGATTTCTCTTGAATCAACATAAATTGTCTGCCAAGTCATTATAAAGGTAATTGACTGTACAGATGTTATTTCAGATACAGTTTGAAGATACTAAAATAACAAATGTATAACAAAAGGGCTGGATGTTTTCTTCAATACCTTTTCTTTCTTTGCTTTGTTTTAATGTGTTGATGATGAAGATATAACAAAGAGAGTGTTCAGTCTAACCATGAAATCCCAATTAGTTCAAGTTGTATTAGAAGGAAATCTCACCCACGTTGTGGTTTTATATTTCTGGAAGTTCTAGAAAACACTGGGGCCTTTAGAACTGCTGAAACCTGTAACACCCTTCAGAAGAGCAAAGAGCAGAAGTTTTCATGCAAGTTCAGAACTTCAGGCTTTCTACATAGGCTTACTATTTTAGCTGTAGCAGGTCTAAATCCATACATACCAAAACAAAGACAGTGGATCTCCTTCTGTGGCATGACAGTGATACAACTGTGCCTAAAGTTGTTCCATGTACAAATGGGAACAAACAATTACAAACTATTAAGCGACTCTTTTTCTTTTTTTTTTTTAATAATTCTCTTTCAGATGTTAACAGCTGGCTGGTGACGTTTGGATTCCACCTACACAATGCCATTCCTGGTTTTCCTGTTCCAAAATTTGATTTAACAGAACCTTCTTATGAACTTGTGAAGAGCCAGCAATGGGAAGATATACCTGTAAGAATCAAAGCTAAGCACTCAAATGAAAGAGGATAGAATATTCTCTTCTATTCAGCTTAAGAGGAATGGATAATCCTGACAGGGCTATTTCCTTATTTAATCTGAATTTGTACTTACCAAATATCTACTTTTTTATCTATGCATTTTCAAAAGAATCTTTAAAATTACAGATTTCCTAAGTACAAATTTTAAATAAGCTGTTTGCTTTCAGCTACAATAAAAATATAGAAGTACAGTAATCAATGAAAAGAAGTTTAAGAACCTTTGAAGATGTCTAACTTTCCTAACAGAAACTACAGAGATTAGATTTGTACTAGCACTCTGCCCAAAGGCAAAAACTGAACAGCGTAGCAAAAAGTAGACTGTGAAATAAACAGAAGAACAGGTGATGTAAATTATGCATACCAGGCACCACTACAGTTTTACTTCTCTTTAATATTAACTACACTTTATATGTAAAGATAAAATATTGAAAATGAAATTACCTGAGGTAAAACCTATTATATTACATAAAACCAAAACTCCAAGTGCTTATGAAGTTCTTTTGGGAAGAAAAAAAATAAAAGAGAGAGCTTAAAGCCTGAAAACCTCTTAGAATTTTAAAAGATAAAAGAAATAACAGTAAAATTAAATTTCAAATCCGCTATTAAAGAAAATGATATTTACAAATCAAGCTTATTCAAAGATCAGAGACATATGCCATCCCAAATCCTACAGTTCTCAGTTAAGGGGGAAGTGCTGAGATGTTAAAATGGGTAGTCTGATCATAAGCAGTCAAAAACCATTCCCTTTTTTCAAGATTAAAAGATGAAACAATCTTGAATAACCCTGCAAAAACTAATCCAGACCAAAAATCATCAAAAAGTGTGGCCCAGCAAAAGGGAACGTATGGAAGGAAATTCTGCAGGCACAGAATCACCCATTACCTATATAGTTTAGTAACCAGGAGCTGAGTAACGGAGAAGGACCTTTGAGCACAGTATGAGAACAGTGTCTTCCATGAACAACAAAAGCAGTAAAGAAAACACTGCAAGTATTCCAAGCAAGTATTCCAAGCAAGGTGGTCATCATCTGGCATTGCTGCAAAGAACTATTAGAAGTTGTTTACTTAGATCTCAGAGGCTGAAAGAATGAGGCTATCTGGTACCACTGGAAAAAGCACACCAGGAAGACAATCAGTCTGGTCAAGGAGATGAGAGCAGGCAGCCAGCTGTCAGAAACCTTCCTTCAGGACAGGAGTACCAGGGAGGCACCTGAGTTCTAGAGACATGCAGCACAACAGAGGAGAGGGAGAGAGACAAAAAACAAAGATGCTTCTCACGTAGGAAGAAGCTGTAACTATGGTATTCACAATTGAATAAGCAAATACAACTAGGAGCCAGAAGTAAAGATGCAAAATACTTGGTATTTTGGAACATTCTGGAGGAAGCGAGCATTACCCATCTATGAGGTTTTATGTCAGAGCTCCAAAGATACCTGTGAAAAATAAGCAATCTTTGCCATTAAGTTGCTTTAGCATCTTGCCACTCTCACTGATTAGTGTGCTGGCTAAAATACATTTTTATGTGGGATTTAGACAGCTGAAATCCACACTTGTTAGCAAGTGCAGACAAGAGTCTGCCACATTCAAGGAGACTTGAAAATCCAAATCAATTTGAATTCCCTCAGGAATTGTCCCCTCCAGAAACCTGCCCTCATGGCAATGTAGAGAAGTCTTTGCAAACCTTTTGCCAGGCTTTGATGAGCAGCAAGGGAGAATTATGGTTGCTGAAGTCTGTGTTAATGGCTCCTGTTTGGTCTGGAAATTTAGGAAGAGAGAATAGGCACTTGCCTCATTTGTCAGTTGTGAATCAAGTGGTTTTAAACAATATTTTACTGGAAGGAAAAGGGGTCAATTGGAAGATAAGCTGGATAATCTACAGAAACTAACTACTCGGTTTCAGAAGTGTAGCCAAAGCTATTTAAATCTTTCTCTCTGTTTCCTGCTGAGACAACTGCTAGGGCAGCTGTCTACTCTCCTCCTTCATCAGTACTAACTCATTCACAGCTTGTCATTGTTAAGCCCTGCAGTTACCCAGATAGGATGTGCCTAGTCTGCAGTTGTAAGTTCCCAACCACAGCTGACCCCATAATGTGAGCTACCCTGCTGTTCCTGCTGGCTGCTCCTGCTCTTCTAGCTGTTCTGGATAACCACAGCAGTTCTGCTGACAGCTCCTAGTCTCTAGCTGCCTTCTCTCACCTTATCAAGAGTGCACCTAGCATACTGGCCTACACATAGCTCTTAATAGTGAAACTTTTTTAACATATTTTCCTATCCAATCTTTCCCACCTAGTACTTTTGCACCTCACAATTACAACTGTAATTCCCTCCCCTCTATAACACATGTACGTGTTCAACAAGAACACCTTAGGTGCAGTAAAATATGAAATACTGAGTTATTTACCTGTTGGTTACTTTCACTCACTGCCCCCTTTGCCAACAAAGTACTCTGCTGTGTTCAGGATTACACCCCTCTAATGTCTTCCGGAGAGAGTGCTTGTCTGTTTTAGGTCTCAGCCAGCATGCTGATGCTTGAAGCTAAATGGATGCTCACACAACTGGAGAGGCTGCAGCTTTTTCACACATACCCTTTTATCAGTTTCTTCAAATATTTGCAGGAAAGATCATCAGTCCCTAATACTCCACTCCTCCACTCTGCACTATTTACCTCCTTTTCTCTTACCATAAAGACTATCCTCATGGTTTGACTGCCCCTTCCTTTAGCTTCAGGGGTTGTGAGAGCTTCCCTGCAGTTTGGTCTTAGACTGCAGCTACCTCAGAGACTATATCTATCTACCTCCTGACTGGGCACAAAGAAAGGCTTGTTCTTGTTCTGAATCACAGCTTCATGGCCCACAAAAATCCCCTCGATTTAGACGAAACTATGGTAGACAGGAATCATAATTGAACAAGCTCAAATGATGAGATAACACTATAGAAAGGCGGCTCTTTCCTGTACTAGGTATTAGCACTGCAAAATTTACATTACAAAATTAGCCCCTCCAAGTAGCCTCTGAAATAAACAGAATTTCTGTGCACGTGCAGGGAGACAAAGAGAAAAAAACACAGAGCATTATCAAACCAAATAGTCTTGTAGCTCAGTAGAACAAGCAGTATGTAGATTTAATTAGTTCCTTGGCACTGTCAGTGGCAGCATATCCTGTTGTCATCCATGGGCAGTACACCAAGAAAGCCTGCCCACTTGGCATCCAGAGGGCTACAGATGGTTGGTAAAACTTCTGTCTGTTCTTGTTTACAGCCAATTTCTGGAGTGCAACAACAAGTGGCGAGACAAGCAAAGGCTTTCCTTTCCCTGGGAAAGATGGCAGAAGTGCAGGTCAGCAGACGGAAATCCAGCGGAGAGAAGTCGTGGCTGTGGTTTGCCACAGTGAAGTCTCTGATCGGGAAAGGGGTGATGCTCGCTGTCAATCAAGGAAAAGTGCAGACAAATGTGCTCAACATTGCAAATGAGGACTGCATCAAAGTGGCAGCCGTTCTGAACAACGCCTACTACCTAGAAAACTTACATTTCACCGTTGAGGGCAAAGACACGCACTATTTTATCAAGACCACCTCCCCTGAGAGTGACCTTGGGACGCTGCGGCTGACCAGCGGGCGGAAGGCCCTGGAGAACGGCATCAATGTCACCGTGTCCCAGTCCACCACCGTGGTGAACGGCAGGACTCGTAGGTTTGCCGATGTCGAAATGCAGTACGGTGCGTTAGCGCTTCATGTCCGATACGGCATGACGCTCGATGAGGAAAAAGCCCGAATACTGGAGCAAGCCAGGCAAAGAGCTCTTTCCAGTGCCTGGGCCAGGGAACAACAGAGAGTAAGGGATGGAGAGGAAGGTGCCAGGCTGTGGACAGAAGGAGAAAAGAGGCAGTTGCTAAGTGCTGGAAAGGTACAAGGATATGATGGGTACTATGTACTCTCTGTGGAGCAATATCCAGAATTAGCAGACAGTGCCAACAATATACAGTTCCTCAGACAAAGTGAGATAGGAAAGAGGTAACACACTGGCTTAGCTCAGGCTGCCAAAGAGACTGTGTACCAGTGTCTTCTAAAAAGGAGACCAAACTGTTCTGCTGCATTACTACTTGAGCCTAAGCTTACATCTTTGCTCAGATTTTTTCTGTAGCACAATCTGAACGGACTCTGTAATGAAAAGAGCGCCTTCCAGAAGAATGATACTGCTAATGACAAAACTTTTTTTTTTTTCTCAATGACCTTAAAGGTGATCTGCTTTAAAGAATATGTTTACATATGCATATCGCTGCACTCAAGTTGGACTGAAAAGTATTAATTAAAAAAAAAAGAAGAAAAAAAGGCCTAAAGATTTTGCAACAGTGTGTCTGCTGTCCTGAGGCACTGTATTTAATTAAGATACAGACCTGTACAGTGTTTCCAAATATTACTGAATTGTTGACCTTTGCTTATGAGAAGTAGTCTCTCTCTTTCTCTCTCTTTTTCTCTTTATCACTGCATAGGATGTGGTATATATCTGTTAATTTTAAAATGTGGGACAAAAATTACTGTTTATAGACAACTCAACTGCTTTAAACTGTGCTGCTTTCTAAAAGGACATTGGCACAAGTGACTTATGCTACCATGGGAATTTAATAATGGATTTTACAATGCTAACGTGCTTTGCCTTGGGGGGAATAAAACGGCAAGTAGAATCCTTGTTACAGATAAGCAAAGGAAACCCTGATTTTTTTGTAAATTATGTGAGACAAGTTGTTTATGGATTTTTATATGAATTACAATTTACTGTACATCAAATATTAGTCTCAGAGGAGTTAATTTATGTAAAGTGTTTAAAAAAGTTTATACTTAAAAATAAAATGATAAAAACATGTGCTGTGTGTGATTTTTTTAAAGAAAAAGGAATTGCACCTTTTATGTTATAGCTGTACAGTATAAAGTATTATATTGTAGAGATATAACAGTGATTACTAATGTCCAAAAGTGTTAATATTTTTGTATTAGGTTTAAAGCTGTGCATCTATCACTCTGCTGATAGAATGGAACACTCCAAAGTGGCTGGCTGAATCAGACTGCAGCTCCCTTCCCTCCCCTACCTCTCCTGTCACCCAGGCCAGTGCCACTTCATCATTGTTAGAAGGCACAGTAACCAAATAAGTCTCGTTTATTATGATGGAAGACTTTAATAGGTTGGGTTTTCCTTGTCTTTTTCCAGCCCTAATGTAATAAATGGACATTTATTCATACCAAGTGGGCTTTCTGTTGTTTTTTTAGAAGCTCTGTTTCACAATGGAGAGAGTAGTGTCTCAGGTGCTTGGCAAACTGTACGTAGAAGAAGAAGAAGAAATGGTGTAGTTTCATCCAGTTATGTCAACTTTGTCTTCTGTATAGTACAGCTCTTTTAGATGTTATAATTCCAGATAGATAGAAGAAGCGTACCTCTGACCTGATGCTACAAAATTGCTCTTTAGGCAGGCAGGCTATTCAGTAGGTTCATCTCCTGGCCTTCAGCTGCCAGATCACATCCCATTACTGTGAAAACTCAACATGGGGATGGAAAGGAAGGTCTAATCCTAGTGCCTATTCTGCATCTCAACACCACTGCACAGATTTGGCATGCTCTGCTCCAAGGTCCAGCATATCTGCTCTAAGACGTAACTGAAGCATGCAGCTGGTTCCTTACAGGAAGCCTGCAGGGGCATCTATGGCATCTGTTCTATATCTTGGCTGAACACATTCTCTGAGCTTTACTCTCATGAGCACTCAATTCAGCCACAAAAACAAATATTTTTAAGATGAGACGAAATTGGGGTTTTTTGATGTTCATTGAAATATACACAGTTATTTCTATCCATGTATTATAATGACAAAACATAGTAAGTGAACGTGTCTTAATTATGAATGGTTCAAGTGGATGTAATAAAAATAGTTTTCTATCTGCTTTGTATTCTGAGAGTCTATGGTATTACATACTCTAAATTGCACATTAGGATTGATTAACAGATTTGAATTTCTGCCGGCCAAGTTGCTACCAAATCTGCAGGATCAGTGCTGTAACTGTACGTGTGTATTTGGTAGAGCATACAGAACTAATTACACATATAATGAATGCTAATCATCTATTAGAATGAAAGCACAGAATAGTTGTTAGTATTTCTACCCTTGAAGCCTTGAGGGCCCTAAATTTAGCGAGGACAATATGCCAGACCCCAGAGGTGTGTGATCTACGTATTATTTAAAGATGTAAAATGCTAGGTGTTTGCAGTTCTGTTGGGTGGCTCTTCCACAGCACTGTATTTAGCATGCTGTAAGTGCTCTCTGTTGAAATAGGCTCATATTCTAAATTATGTCAAATGTTTCTGTTCTGTTTGAATATGAAAAGCGTGTATAACATATCAACAATGAAATATATCTTCTACTTGACGCATACCAGTTCCTTCTCCT